TTAGTAACGCTTTTTCTTTCGATGAAAATAATAATTATGACATATGAATTATTAATCGCGATGCCAACATTAGAAGCAAAGCATTTAACAATGTTACAGCGAAATGAGTCTAACACAAATGTATGCTGTTTCCTTTCTCTCTCCGTGATATATTAAATCCGTTTCTAGTTCTGTTCACGAACCGGAGTATCATAAAGTAATAAGTATCATAAAATATACAAATGATATATATTAAGAGAAACGAAATCAGAAGTTTCATTAGCGAAACTAGTGTTTCTAACAAAAACGAAGTAAGCTTGATATATATATATATATATATATATATATATATATGTGTGTGAAGCCTGCAGAGAAATATGAATTATTCAATGGAGAAAAACTCACTGTTCTAAATGTCTGCAAGCACGTTGCGAACACAAATCTAGCTTTTACGGAAAGATACTTAAGATAATTAAAACCATCGAGAACGATCACCATCCTCTTCCCCTACCCCTAATTCTTGATGCATTAAAGCACGGTATATATAGTAAAGCAGTTCGTGTACCGAAAAACTTTGCTCGTAAATATTCGTGAAACACATTCATAGACAATTAAAAGTCCTATCGAATAACGAAGAGAAAAAGATAGATACATAAATATTTCTTGTTCATTAAATTAAAAAATATAATGTAATTAAAAATAAGACAGTGCTAATTCTAGATCAAACACATAGTATATATTTTACAAGATTCATTATCAAATTTATTATTATTCTTATTAACCCCATTGTATATAATATTAATTTAATCGATTGTAGTATAAGATTAAATTAATTAGCGCACTCGCAAAGTTCGGTCTCGCGAACACTCGACTGAAAAAAAAAAAGGTTACACACACTTCCTCTAATTTCGCACACACGTAGCACTTTCGCGTAAAAACGCCATTACCACGTTGGCATTTAAAACAATTACGACGCGCGGTCATTACCACGCGGCGCCGGAAAATGCCGCGACGTCGCATCGTCGTCGGAGCGTGCGAATCGCGGAGCATTATCGGATCCGTGATCCGAGGGAAGAGAGAGGAGAGAAACAATAAGAGCCCCGAGAGACGCGAGCGAGGTTGCTGCGACTCGGGACGCGAGAAGAACACAGGCTGCATCTCGGACATGATACCATGATACTAAACTTTCCCAAAGGCATGAATCATTCCGCTAAGAGCGGGTTCGCCGCGCCGTATAAATACAGTTTAGAACGATAAACGCACCATTAGGGACCGTCCTTAAATTACGTAAGGTTTTTGGGGAGAGAGAAGGGGGTTGAAATAGTTCTTACGTAAGATTTTTGAAAATTTTTCTCTGATTGAATAATAATAAATCTAATAAACTTTTTTTTTTTTGCCAAAAAGTTGTCATTTTTATTTATTGATCATATACAGTTTAGAACGATAAACGCACCATTAGGGACCGTTCTTAAATTACGTAAGGTTTTTGGGGAGAGAGAAGGGGGTTGAAATAGTTCTTACGTAAGATTTTTGAAAATTTTCCTCTGATTGAATAATAATAAATCTAATAAACATTTTTTTTTTTTGCCAAAAAGTTGTCATTTTTATTTATTGATCATATACAGTTTAGAACGATAAACGCACCATTAGGGACCGTTCTTAAATTACGTAAGGTTTTTGGGGAGAGAGAAGAGGGTTGAAATAGTTCTTACGTAAGATTTTTGAAAATTTTTCTCTGATTGAATAATAATAAATCTAATAAACTTTTTTTTGCCAAAAAGTTGTCATTTTTATTTATTGATCATATACAGTTTAGAACGATAAACGCACCATTAGGGACCGTTCTTAAATTACGTAAGGTTTTTGGGGAGAGAGAAGAGGGTTGAAATAGTTCTTACGTAAGATTTTTGAAAATTTTTCTCTGATTGAATAATAATAAATCTAATAAACTTTTTTTTTGCCAAAAAGTTGTCATTTTTATTTATTGATCATATACAGTTTAGAACGATAAACGCACCATTAGGGACCGTCCTTAAATTACGTAAGGTTTTTGGGGAGAGAGAAGGGGGTTGAAATAGTTCTTACGTAAGATTTTTGAAAATTTTTCTCTGATTAAATAATAATAAATCTAATAAACTTTTTTTTTGCCAAAAAGTTGTCATTTTTATTTATTGATCATATACAGTTTAGAACGATAAACGCACCATTAGGGACCGTCCTTAAATTACGTAAGGTTTTTGGGGAGAGAGAAGAGGGTTGAAATAGTTCTTACGTAAGATTTTTGAAAATTTTCCTCTGATTAAATAATAATAAATCTAATAAACATTTTTTTTTGCCAAAAAGTTGTCATTTTCATTTATTGATCAGTTGTCTTTATCAATTAATTTTAACTATTTCATAAAAATAATAAAATTATAACTTTATATTTTTATTTTTCATTTTTTAAAGACTTATTTTGAATCCCTTTCTAAAAAAAATCTATTATCGCAAATATTATTGCTACTTTTCCACGATACTGATTGGATGTCTCGATTGTGTTATATTAATAACATCAAGCAACTGTCATGTGAAAGTTAACAGAGTTTGACAGTTGTAAAATAAAAAATAAAAATAATATCAATAACACGCGCGAAGCGCGCGCTTGTGTTATCTGGTAAAGTTAAAATATCCAAGAAACTTTATTAATAAAATCATAAAATACAGGAAAGAGGTCACGGAAAATGTCTTACATCAGGAGACGTTCAAAAATCGTAAAAAAAAACCTTACGTAATTTAGGGGTAGCCCTTTACACAAATCGCGCGATATTTCGCTGCTCGCGCGTCTTCTTTCTCCTCATCTAAAGAGACGGATCGATGCACGTCCTCGGGGAAGAAGAGGGAAGGAGAGGATGCAACGAGATCGACTAGTCGGCAGGATGCACCGCAACAATGCGTCTGGGTTTACACGCGCAAACAATGGCCGATACGCAATGCGTACGCGCCCTTGTACCGTTATCTCGTTCACCGCGAAATTATCCGCTAATTATTTGCAATTAATCGTAAAGCTCCGGAATGCCCCGACGTGTTCCAAAACATTTTTTCCATTCGCGCGGCGGCGATAATCCATCGTGTTACAACATCGGTTGTTAACGTTGTAACGAGCGGCGTCGTTGTAATTGCGCCGGACGTAATTGCTTCCCCCCGTGTGCATATAATTTGTAATTGCATTATTATTATTATCATTACTCTTTTCTTTTTTTCTGTTTTGTTCTCCGAGCGTTTTAATGCGCCACGCAATTAGGCGCATAATTAGTCGTTAGCGACTACTAAGCTATATATTCCCATTTCCGCGTCTTGTCCTAATAGCGAATCAGTCATGTTACCTTGCAAGTGTACGATTTATTTTCTCACCGTAATTCGATTACACATCTTGCATATACATAACTGGAAATTCATCTTGTTGCCTTTGTATTTTCTTTCTTTAATTAAAGCGTCCTCGGTAAAATCAATTGTCAGAGTTATTCAAAAATATCCCGATCTGTTTCTTTCAGATCAGATTTATTTAAATAACGTGCATGTTTTTATTTATTTATACAAAAAAAAATCGTTTGAATTAGTTTTTTATTAATGTTTAAGGTTCATGACTGTAATTTTATAAGTGATAAAAATTTTTTTAATTTTAAACAAGACTTGGAGATATAAGAATATTCGCCAATTTGCTGACAGCGAGAAGATTCCCCAAAGACGACTTTCACAGTCCATATATTTTAACTAAAAAATTTTATCGTATTTATAAATATTTAATAATAAATGCCTAAAAGTATTAGAATGATCCGCTATGCAATTTTTATAAAAAAAATTCTCAAGGAAACCTTATTTTTAGCTTTCTGATGAAGTAGGCGCCCCCATTAATTCAAGACAACTTTCACAGTCCATATATTTTAACTAAAAAATTTTTTCGTATTCATAAATATTTAATAATAAATGCCTAAAAGTATTAGAATAATCCGCTGTGCAGTTTTTATAAAAAAAAATTCTCAAAGAAACCTTATTTTTAGCTTTCTGGTGAAGTAGGCGCCCCCTTAATTCAAGACAACTTTCACAGTCCATATATTTTAACTAAAAAATTTTTTCGTATTCATAAATATTTAATAATAAATGCCTAAAAGTATTAGAATGATCCGCTGTGCAGTTTTTATAAAAAAAAATTCTCAAAGAAACCTTATTCTTAGCTTTCTGATGAAGTAGGCGCCCCCATTAATTCAAGACAACTTTCACAGTCCATATATTTTAACTAAAAAATTTTTTCGTATTCATAAATATTTAATAATAAATGCCTAAAAATATTAGAATGATCCGCTGTGCAGTTTTTATAAAAAAAAATTCTCAAAGAAACCTTATTTTTAGCTTTCTGATGAAGTAGGCGCCCCCTTAATTCAAAACAACTTTCACAGTCCATATATTTTAACTAAAAAATTTTTTCGTACTCATAAATATTTAATAATAAATGCCTAAAAGTATTAGAATAATTCGCTGTGCAGTTTTTATAAAAAAAAATTCTCAAAGAAACCTTATTTTTAGCTTTCTGACGAAGTAGGCGCCCCTTAATTAGATAAGTGAAATTTCGACAGATAAAATAAGATGGATTAGTTGATTAGCAACAACGGAACAAGCTGTAAAACGACGTATGGAGGCTTTCCCGTGGCAAAGGTGCTCCCGGCCACACGCGTGAAGCGGAAGCATGCAGAGAACGACGACGAGGAGGAGGCGAGTCAGCCCTAACGGGATCGCGATACGGATCATTAGCGTTGTTTAATCTACGAGCGAGCATTCTAACGCGATCGCGAAGAGAAGGGAGAGACTGGCAATCTCGTACGCTGCCTGTTGTTGTATCAAATCAGCCGCGTCACGGGAAGAAATCCTCCTTCTTCGATTTCCGCGCCGGCGGCCGAGACGTCTCCCGAGTCATCGTTACGGACGTTATGTAATTTCCGTTGCTGTAAAGTCCAAGTTTTACGAGAACTGCGACGCGACTCGCGTGTCGTGCCTGTACGAAGTCGCGTCTTCTTGTCTTGTGCTCGCTCGATTTCAAACGTTTCGTTTCAAAGGGAGAACCAACAATTGTAATATAAGTGATATAAAACTATGAAGTCACCGGATGATAATTAAAAAATGGTAATAATTCAATCGACCAATTCTGGCAAATAATTAAATTTATTGAATTTTCACAACGTTTCGGCCGTGGGTTTCGGCCCTTATCAAGTGCTATAATATAATATTAATTATTAGAAAAATAAATATAAAAATAATAAAATATATAAAAATATTCACACGTTAATACGCAACATACCTATCGTTCTTAAATCAAAGTAAATCACAACTTTTTTTGAAAAAACAAAAATTCGATCTTAAAATATGACATCATATAATTATAATATAAATTTCGACGAGCCAGAAAGAGTCGGACGCGGATGATAGCGCGTCGGTTTCAAGGAGAATTCATTTTTCATTTCGCGTGCGCAAACATTTTTCTCGGTTCGAGTGACCAATAAAAACAATATCAAGTAATTAAATTAAATCTCACAATTCGAGATTTTTATTTTAATAAACTCCCCTGTTTTCGATATTTCACATAGACAGCCTTAATAAAATTCTCAACAATTAACGAAAAAAAAACAAAAAAAACAAACATTGGAAACACGTATAATGCATCCTCCCTTGATACTTAACTCAAGTGTTTAATCTAATTGCTTGATAACGATAGTTAGACGGATCTTGCGAATCGATAGGAGAAATGTTTTTGCAAGAATAATGATAATTAAAGTTCTTCGCCGTTGAGCTGGTGTCACGCAGCGTTCCCCAGGGTAAACAACGGCATCGAATGCCACCCCTTTGACATTGTCGTATCCCGATGCGAGTGCATCGTCTACCGGACGACGATGGACAAATAATAAGCAGTAATAACAACGTATATGGTGGGACGTTAAACGTGCCGGCACATTATGACCCTGTGTGTGTGTGTGTGTATGTGTGTGTGTGCGTGTGTCGTCTAATCGTTACCGACGATCTTGACGAGCCATATCGTTGCGTTGCAACTATAACCATCCCCCTTTTGCACTCACCCTTGGCCGCATGTAAAACGTCGCGTAATCGCGCTAGATCGGCATTAGCTTTCGTTTCATGCAAACCTTGATGCGTGTGAGTGTACGAGCAAAAAAATATACGGATTAAAAACAGAAATTAATCTTACAACAAGAGTTGCAAGTTCCTAATCTCTACATAAAAAAAAAACAAAAATATATGGAATTATAATTTTTTAATAATATGATAAAATATTAAAATTTCTTCTTATGAATTAAATTCCAATAAGAAAGTGTATTTTACTAATTTTGTAAATCTAATAAATTTTCTTAACATAAAAAAGACAGGAATATATGGAATTATAATTTTTTAATAATATGTGATAAAATATTAAAATTTCTTCTTATGAATTAAATTCCAATAAGAAAGTGTATTTTACTAATTTTGTAAATCTAATAAATTTTCTTAACATAAAAAAGACAGGAATATATGGAATTATAATTTTTTAATAATATGATAAAATATTAAAATTTCTTCTTATACATTAAATTCCAATAAGAAAGTGTATTTTACTAATTTTGTAAATCTAATAAATTTTCTTAACATAAAAAAAGACAGGAATATATGGAATTATAATTTTTTAATAATATGATAAAATATTCAAATTTCTTCTTATGAATTAAATTCCAATAAGAAAGTGTATTTTACTAATTTTGTAAATCTAATAAATTTTCTTAACATAAAAAAAGACAGGAATATATGGAATTATAATTTTTTAATAATATGATAAAATATTCAAATTTTTTCTTATAAATTAAATTCCAATAAGAAAGTGTATTTTACTAATTTTGTAAATCTAATAAATTTTCTTAACATAAAAAAAGACAGGAATATATGGAATTATAATTTTTTAATAATATGATAAAATATTAAAATTTCTTCTTATAAATTAAATTCCAATAAGAAAGTGTATTTTACTAATTTTGTAAATCTAATAAATTTTCTTAACATAAAAAAAGACAGGAATATATAAAATTATAATTTTTTAATAATATGATAAAATATTCAAATTTCTTCTTATAAATTAAATTCCAATAAGAAAGTGTATTTTACTAATTTTGTAAATCTAATAAATTTTCTTAACATAAAAAAAGACAGGAATATATGGAATTATAATTTTTTAATAATATGATAAAATATTCAAATTTCTTCTTATAAATTAAATTCCAATAAGAAAGTGTATTTTACTAATTTTGTAAATCTAATAAATTTTCTTAACATAAAAAAAGACAGGAATATATGGAATTATAATTTTTTAATAATATGATAAAATATTCAAATTTCTTCTTATAAATTAAATTTCAATAAGAAAGTGTATTTTACTAATTTTGTAAATCTAATAAATTTTCTTATTCGATTTCCCAACATATTCATCTCTCACAGCCGACGAGCTCGTGACGCTTCGCGATGCACACATACATAACATCGCGGGTACAGGCTTATCGCAGCGCGGAAGTTTATCACGCAGCCAGATATATATATGCATGCATTCCTAGAAAATGCAGAAAGATTAGTGGTAACAGACAGGAATATTTTCTTGCAATTGCCCGGGCCCTGCGTGCCCGTCCGCGAAGTCGGGCTTCCAAGAACGCGCAAACGCGATCCGTTAGCACGCGAGGCGGTTGATTTTGTTAAAGGAGACCATGCAAATGTACGGTTCGCAATTTATTTCTCGCATTTATCTGCAAAACGGAAGTAAAGCCCAGTCGCCGTCCACTCTGGTCCGCCGGATAAGAGAAGGATCACACGGGGTCACTTGGCTTTCAAAGCGGTCTTTTCCGGTTCGATCGATCGATTATCTTGTCAAAAAAAATTGACACTTTTTTTCTTTCCAGAAACGAAAAGAACGGAGGAACTAGAAAGAGAGATAGAGGCCAATGTCGCCGCTCTGAGAATAACGACATTAACATTACCGGTAGTTCCAAGTAGGTCGCAACAGTCGAGATAAACGAGCGATCGAGACCAATGACCACTCCTTGACCTAGACGTCTCGGCATTAACCTGGTCCGACCTACTCTTCATCCTGATTTTGTTCGGAGCAAGCAATGTCACGAGGACGCGTGATCGTAAAAGTTGCGGCCTACCGAAGACATCGGTATATTATTGTATTAATACTTTATCAATACCGCAGGGAACGGATGTATGTTGCAACTTGACGTATGTATTTGCAATGAGATACCCTATATCACGCAATTATGCATTTCGATGACAAAGTGAGGTAAATAAATATCCCTTTTAGATTTTACATCCCTTCTACGTTTAATTCCGTCAATATATGATATCCAATAAATATATAATATGCATCTGAATACAAGGTCATTCATTAAATGTATTATTTCTATATTACATATCTGTCATCAGATATTTAGTAATGCTTGTTTTAGATGTGTGAACTGGAGATGCATGTAGGAATAATTTTATGCAATTTGACGTATGTATTTGCAATGAGATACCCTATATCACGCAATTATGCATTTCGATGACAAAGTGAAGTAAATAAATATCCCTTTTAGATTTTACATCCCTTCTACGTTTAATTCCATCAATATATGATATCCAATAAATATGCATCTAAATACAAGGTCATTCATTAAATGTATTATTTCTATATTATATATCTGTCATCAGATATTTAGTAATGCTTGTTTTAGATGTGTGAACTGGAGATGAATGTAGGAATAATTTTATGCAATTCTTATATACATATAATAGCATTGTTATTGAATCATCCATAAATCCTTGGCTCTTTTTCGTGAGATATATTGTTATATAATTATTATAGTACAGATATTCGTAAAAAAGTTATTCGCATCCTACGTACATATATCTACAAGTGCTTCATTTTCTACTACTTCACAAAAAGCAAGAGAGAAAGAGAAAGCAAAAGTGTTGAGGTATGGCACTAAATAAACATTACTCAATGACAAATATTTGTACATGAGAGTCTTGTATCTTTGTATTCGGATTAAACAACGAGAGGAAGAGATCAAAAATATGTAAAGAATGAGGCAAGCACTATCGGATCCTGACATCGATAATGAGAAGAGATTTCTGCAAAATTATTTTTATATAAAATTATTTATAATTAATATTTTTGTTTTGTACTTAGCTTTTACTCCAGGATCAATGACAAATTTTTTTTTAATTTGCAGGGAGGGGGTTTAACCCCAAACCCCCCTCCCCTACCTCCCCTAGGATCTGCTAGTGAAGTCAAGTATTCTCTATATACATACCGAGATTTAAGAGAAAGTTTCGTAAGAATTTAAACCAACTCATGCGAAAAGTAGAATAAAAGACTTAAAATTTAAATTTATTCAAGATATGCGGCAACGTTATATAAATTCTATATGAGGTTCGAAAAATGACGTACTTTCTTCTTTATACATATGAAGAGAGGCACAAGTAGAGCGAAAAATGAGAGAAGAATAACGGAAACGCGGCATAGAAAAATTAATATTAAAATTTGTACTATATACAATAATATGACCGTTTCAGATGACATCTCGTTTCATGCTGGTCGTAGTATCTTTCGTCATTTAAATGCCAACGAACCTTTATAGCAACCATGAACAGCCCCTATCAAATAGGGTAGCAAAAGGGTAACCGTTGATAATTTGTGAAAATGCTAACGATGCATATAGAGATGCTCGCTCAGGCTAAAAATGGGTGTCATTTACAAAAAATGTAATTGTCTATTTTTTCTGTGTCACATTAAATAATTTTTTTCCACTTTATTTATTTTTTTCAATTATTTTATATATATGTATATATTTTATATATACGTATATATATTTTTTACATAATTTTAAATTGCTTTAACTCTAGCAAGAAGTCGTACAATTTGATAAACTCAGGTATTATTGTGACCTTTATTCCTACGAAAACAATATCCAATCAAACGGTTTCATCGAAGAAAAATCTTTCCAATATTTTCCGACTATTCCAGTCCGTAATAACGTGAGCAACAAGTAAGAGACAGGAAAGACGAAATCTGCAAGCGCCATCGCGTCGTGTCGTAAAGTTCCGTCTCGTAATAAGCGAGCGATAAGTCTTTGTCCTTCTATATATCTTACTTTTTCCACTTTGGTGTCTGCGCGTCTCTTCAATCGTATAAGGTCCACGTACGTGTACATGTACATATATACACGTGTGCGAACAAAGTAAACCAGCTTTATATGCATTTACACGGGACACGGTATCGACACCTCGTAAACCAGGAGGAAGTCGTACCTTACAGACACACACACACACACACACACACACACACACACACACACACACACACACACACATACGCCTTAATAAAACGAGCATATTTTGTCGCTGTCATCGCTCGCCTGTCGTACGGACATGCAGAAATATATCGATCGGCAGTATTTCTCGCAGGAGCGAGAAGTTTGTGGCGCGAAAACATCCTTAGAAATGGAATAATATTCGTTATAGACACTCGGCGAGAATTGATACGATAATGATATTTGTACTACTTTACACTACACGGCAATGCGCACTCGTAATATTGTGACGATGGCTAACAATAATATTCCAATACTAACAAATAAAATTCGATGCATATAATTGCTTCGAGAAATTATTTTCAGATGTCTATCACGAACTGAATTATAAACCTTCTCTACGTTGATTAATTATCTATTTTTTTATTAGATAAAAGAGAGAGAGAGAGATGCATATATCTAATCTAAGAGAGAGTTTTTGCAAATAAAAAAATAGAGAGCGATCACTGATTATAATTTAAAAAGAAAACACACATATATAAAAGCATATAATATTAACACCTCGTAAACTAGAATGTCTCATTGTCGCGTGCACTGCAATAAAACTATTGCAGATGCTTTGCTATCGTGTGTCTTTTCCAAGTCCTTGACGAAAAATACTTGGAGAACGCCTAACAAACGACACGTAAGCGTTTAAATAACACCTTTATCGTCCTCACGTGCGCCGAAAATGAAAAATCGTGTGTTTATTAGCAGCAAGTGGTCTCTCTTCAACAACGAGCGCGAAAGGATCAAAAAACCGTGAGAGCGTCGGGAATAAGAGAGATAGAAAATAAGAAAGGTCGATGATCTCCTTGAAGAAGTCCTCGCGACCTTGTCCGAATAAATATCGATTCACGTCAAAGGTTGATTACAATATCAATATCGGTTGGAATGATTGCTTGAATAGATTCTACAAAATTGTCTAAAAGACCAAATTAATAATTAAAAAGTAAATATGATTATGTTCCATTATTTCAAACTAATTAATAAATTTCATTAATTTAATGATAATTAATTGAATGGCTTGGCACAATAATACATATATTATAAATATATTACAATATACATAAACTAAGACAAACAAAAAAAACATTAATTATTAACAAAATACATCCTTCTGAAATCTGTAAATTTTTAAGATACTTTTTTAGTTATTTTTTTCATTTTTTTTTTTTTTTTCAACAGCTGACGACCAAGAAAGGAAAGGATCTGAAGATCGTTCGCGTCACAGAATTATACGCGCTGACGGTGGATTTAATTAGGATTAATAATCTTCACGCAAATGTGAATTTTCCTAGGTCCCATCTTCCCATTGATACTTTCTCCATCTCGCTAATCTTTGACGGCTAAGCACGTCTGTCAAGTTTCACCGCGCAATATTCATCTTCTTACACCTTCGTCGCCCTACCGTGAAGTTCGCCAAGTCTGCACGGTGAACGTGGCGCAAAGCGTAGGAAGGAAGTTTTCTATCGATCCATGCCGGTGTTTTGAGGTCAGGGCGCTGCGCCAGCACTGCGGCTAGCTGCTACCAAAACCAAAGCCTCGTCGACGACGTCCACGTCTTCTAGAGACTCGGCGATTCGATCTCGACGCACGATCGAATCTGGAGCTTTAGTATTCGGCATATTTAATAGGGACCAGTACCAAAATCAACGACCGTCGAATGATCTATATATTGGAAGGGCAATTGTTTACTAAAGCAAAATGCACATACTCGTTGTTCACCATTATGACTTAGCCGAAGAAATCGTAAAAAGATTATAAGCACCAAAAATAAAAATCTTGGCTAGAAAAGAAAGGAAGATTTTTTAACAAATCTTTTCTTCACTTCTGTACATATATATGTTTAAAAAAAAAAGAGTTCTCATTTTAATATCTTTTAAATCGTACTAATATACAATCACTCCAAGAAAAAGTGGTACACTTAAAATTTGGCAAAAAATCACAAATTTCAAATGACGATAACTTCGTAAATAATAAAGATAGAAAGGTTTCTAAAAAATAAAAATAAAGTTTGGAATCTCTACTTTAAAACTCTATGCATTTTAATGTTGGGAGATAAATTTATTAAAAATGGCGGATGACAAAACGAGAGCATGCAAAATTGAAAAATAATGGTCCGAGTTTGCCAAAGCACATGGCGTGAGTCAAATGTCGCAACTCAATGGAATAAAAAGCATATGATAGTACAGAGTCTCCTCTTTAAAATGCTTTTTTACTCATCTCGATACGATAATTTTTTGCCAAGATATTCGCATTTAAGTAAAAAGACTACGTTTTACTTTAAATGCGAATAACTCTGCGAAAAATCATCGTATCGAGATGAATGAAAAAGCATTTTAAAGAGGAGACTCTGTACTATCATATGTACTATCATACATTTTTATTCCATTGAGTTGCGACATTTGATATCACGCCATGTGTCTTGGCAAACTCGGACCATTATTTTTCGATTTTACATGTTCTCATTTTGTCATTCGCCATTTTTAATAAATTTATCTCGCAACATTGAAATAAATAAATTCTTAGAAATTCGAAGCTTTAATTTTATTTTTAGAAACCTTCTATCTTTATTATTTACAAAGTTATTGTCAGTTGAAATTTGGTTTTTTCCAAGTGTATCGCTTTTTTGGAGTAAGAGTATCATACATATTCATAGAAAATTGAATGTATTTTTTTTATATAATATTATTGATTGTATGCTTTTTAAAACATATTTTCTTTAACTTAATATTTTCTTGATATAATATGAATATATGTATGGAATAATTTTGGAAGTGACGGTTATCGTACCCACCATTGAATTAAACCGCAAGAGCCTTTTGAAAGCGCGAGGATCACGACATTGTATCGCGTGACTTTTAAAATACACTGCTTCAAAAAAATCGTCGATCGGTCAGGCATAATTTCACAGGTGTCCCTCGTCGACCGCATTGCAGATGAAGCTTTCTTTCATCGTTTGCAAGAACAG